TTCCTTATCCCGCTGCTATCGCATGGTGTCACCGCAGGACCCCGTCATAACACCTGATGGCTACCTCTACAGCAAGGAAGCCATTTTGGAGAACCTTTTGGCACAAAAGAAAGCCATAAAGCGCAACCTGCAGGCGTATGAGGCAGCGCAGCAGCAGGAGCAGCAGAAGGTACCATGCCGTACCGCACGGGGCAGTCCACCGTCAGGCACTCTAGCCAGGCGGGACTCTTCCTTGTGTAGAGCCGGACGCCCTGACCTGCCCTTCTCCTCGCGTACCCTAATGGCAGTTGGGCCTGGGTGCGGGCCCCCTTCCCTAGCTTTAGTCCTCCCGGCGGCACAGCCCTGCCCGCTGTGATTACGTTGCACGCTGACGGCGGGCCCTCCCTGGGAACACCTCGACTGCAATCGGTCCCCCGCGACGCGAAGTGAGCCGGGAAGATGACCTCACACCGGGCCGGATTGGGCGATCGCCGCGATTCCTGCACCTGCCTGCGCCGATGGCTGCGAGATATCTCCCCCTTGCCCCTCCTCCCGCCCTCTGCTTGGCTTGCGCACACCCGTGTTGACCGCGGCACGGTACCGTATTTTGATCATGCAGGAGCTGGAGAAGCAGGCCATTGAGAAGGAGGCGGCGCTGATTGCCTTCGACCGGCGGAACCACCTGGGCGTCAGCGAAGGCGTGGCCGCAAAGTGAGAGCGGGTTTGGGCGGAGGTGGGAGCCTCGGGGGCCTTCGGTCTCGGTTCCTCGGGTTCGTGCGTCGAACAGGAAGGCGGGAGCTTCGGTCAGTGGGGCGCTTGCCGTTCCCTCCTGGCTAGGGGAGGGGCAGCTCTGTGTGCGTCGCTCTGGCCTTGCGCAGCCTGGGGCCGAAGCGTGGGCATACGGCCTCGTGGGCTCGGCGCGAGTCTCAGCTTCCGGAGGGTTGAATCGCTCGTTACGCTTAGCCGCGAGGGGTGCGGAGCGGCGCCGTGCTGCTGCTCGGACGCTCGAGAGAGTCGGGTGTGGCGGGCGACGATCATGCATCAGCGGGGTGAGCGTGTACGCCACGCAGGGCGACGGATGTTGGGCCTGCACGTGCATTTTTTCTCGCACCACATCACCATGCCTAGCAGCGCAGTGGGCAGACGGGGTCGCTCCTCTCTCTGTCGAACGTTTGGACCCGCGCCCACTCCCTGCCCCTCTGTCCACTGTCCACGGCTGCTGTTCTTGCTACTGCGGCTGCGGCTGCTGCGGCTGGCAGGCTGGAGGCTGCGATCGTCAAGGAGGCGGAGGCGCTACGCAACCCGAAGGAGGCCGGCGGCGCCAAGTCGGTGATCGCCATCAAGGACAACGAGGACCGGGCCAAGGAGCTCAAGGTGCTCAAGGAGACAGCGGCCTCCCGCTGCTGACCTGCCCCGGGACCGTCTCCGTCTCCGCTGTGGTATCTTCTTTTTGCCCCGGGGCCTTGCTTCGGGCCTTGGTTCGAGGTGGTGCACAGCACAGCACTCATCTTGACGCGCGGCGCTGCGCACTTGTAGCAGGGAACTTGCAGCAACGCACTCGTAGCGAAAGGGCTCCAGGCAGTGACAGGCTCGCGCGGCTGCCCAGCGCGGACAGTCTGGCCGGGAGCTGGCCGGGCTGGTCGGGCAGGCTTTCATCAGCTGGGCGGCTTCGGGCAAAACGGGCCCGCCTGCTGCGGAGGCGTGGTACCCCTCGTCGTGGGCCCTGACAGCTTGCGTGCGCCGGCCCGCTCGCCCGCCTAACATGCGGCATCCCGCCCGGCATGCGGCATTTAGAAACGGATGAGAATCCAATCACAAGTAAGCGAAGCTGCTCTCTTGCTGGCGCAGGCTTTCTGGATGCCGTCGCTGACACCCGAGGCGGAGGCCAAGGTGGAGAAGCCCGACACCGACACCCGCTGCCCTGCCAGCGGCAACAAGCTGAGGATGAAGGTGTGTGCGTGCGCTGCGAGCCAGTACGATACCCAAATACGGTATCAGCACACCGCACAGACACTAGTGAAGCAATTGAAGGTTTCGCGCCGGAGTGCAGTGGCGCCTACGGATGGCTGGCCACATTGGCCGTCCGCGAATGCTTGGTGACGTGCTTGGGGCCATCTTGGCGCCTTCAACGTAGAGTCGCCAGGTCGGCTCCTCCACCGGCGTTTGTACCCGAACTGGTGCCTCGAAAGCAGTGCGTTGCGGGGCCTGCGGGTTGGGCCGTTGTTCCGTTCATCCACGCAGAGGCGCCTGCCATTAAGGCACAGCCCGACCCAGATCGCTCCGCGAGTCCCAGTGCCTGCCGTTCGCTGCGGCGCCTAGCAACCGGGGCCTTGCTTGGACAACAACCGTTGCGCGTGATCACCACATCGATTGACCGTTGCGCGACAACTCAGTCCGTCACACCTCAATTCTACCATTGCGCATACCGTACCCCTCATTGCCCCTCAGGACCTCATTTCGGTGCGCTGGACGTCCGTGCCGGAGGGCGAGTGCGGCAAGCACATGGACCCCATCACCAAGGAGACCTTCGCCAACGCGTCCAAGCTGGTGGTGCTTGCGACCACCGGGTGCGTGCGCAGGAACAGGAACAGGAGCTCGCGGGGGGGGGGGAGTTTGATGCCGCCTGCACGTGCCATTGCGGCTGCAAGCGCGCGTCCACGGGTTACTGTACATGGGCTTTTATTGTTTTTTTGTGAAGATGTCGAACGTCTGGGGCGCCGCGCCGCAGCGGCCGTGTGTCCATCTTTGCTGGCCGCTGAAACTGGCCATGGCGGGGCAAGGACTGCGCGGGGCTGACTTGGGTCGGGGATGCGTGGGTGGAAGGCACCGCCCCCTCGTTGAGTCCAGGGCTGGGTCACGTTCCAAGGGTGGGGTAGGGTGGGAAAGGTTGCTCCAGACCTGGTGCGTGCGTAGTTCGCTGTATTGTGGCTCGTTCCGAGCGCTGTGCGGCCTGTGCCGGGCTCGCCCACCGCGGGGCCCTGATGCGTTCGCTCCTCGCAGAGACGTGTTCCTGAAGGAGACGTACGAGAAGTGCATCAAGTCTGAGGGCTCCTACGGCGGCAAGCGGGTGCGCGACAAGGACGTCATCGAGCTCAAGACGGGCGGTACCGGCTTTGCGGCGCGCGATGGAGAGCGGGTTCAGACGAAGAAGGTGAGCCTCATTGCGGCCTGGCGTATCCAGCGGTGTGCAAGGGCGCCGGCTGACGCGCCGGCGGGAGCCTGTGCAGCTGTCCCCGGCTGTCCAGAGCAGTTTTTCCGAAGCTGGGCCTTACGGAATTTATGCGCCCCAAATCTGGTACACCTAACCCTTTTGCGCCTGTAAATTCCCACAAAAAGTCCCTCACACAAACCCAGCACGGCCACGTCATCTCCTTAACCGCTCCCTCCACGCACAAGCATGCCCACGCTCACACAATCCCTACGGACCGGAGGACCATGCGAAGCACACAGCATGCAGGAAAGCGCAATGCGCCCTGCACCGGCAATCGATGGCCTGCATCGCAGCCCACGTTGTGCTGAGACGCTCCATTACTGTGCCTTTGGGTTAGGTGCCTCTGCGCCTTTGGGTTGGGTGCCTCTGCGGTCCGCCATGGTCCTGGTCCTGGTCCTGGTCCGCGCCACCGACATTGCTATTGCTCCGTCTGCGTTACGCGCGGTTTCACCCTCGCAGTACTTCGCCATGGGCCCCGGCAACGGACTGCGCGACCTGCGAGGCCAGCACCAGGGGCCGCGCTCACTGGGCGGACTGGTCTTCATGAACTAGGCTGCGTGCGTGGGGCATACAAAAGAAGCAGCCTGGTTGCTGGCATGGGAAAGGCGGTGCGTGCCAACCACGGCCTAGGCTGCGGAACGATGAAGCCTGGGATCAAGACTGCGTAAAACCGGAAGGTAGCATGCAAAGGGGAGGCAGGTCTAGACTACTAGGGCGATGCGAACGAGTGATGATGCCAATGAATGATGTGAGCGTCGTGTGTGTGTGCGTGTGTGTGTTGTGGTTGGAAATGGGCTGTAGGGTGGACTTACAGTACGGTACCACGCCTCTCGACGAGGGGCTCAGCAAAACGTTCGGAGAAGCGGTTCCTGGTTTTGTTCTCCACGGTGCGCACGTTGCCGCCTGGTAAGTGGATCTGTGCCATGAAGGCGGCTGTTTTGTTCCAGGAGGTTCCAGGCGGAAACGGATGGTAAAAAGGCTGGACGGGATGGCAGCCCGCAACCGAGGAGGAACCAAGGTGGCTCGGGGCTGGCTCGGGGCACCAAAGAGAGTGTCGCAGGTGGCCCCGCCCAGCCGCATGACGTGGTGGCTCTCGACAGTCCGGTACAGCAATAGCTTGGTCGACAGGATTCGTGGTTCGTGGTGACGGTCCGCCATCAACGGTCTGTTGCGCCGAGATGGACCGAGAGGGACCCTGCCTTGTTGGCAGGGTACTCTCATACGACCCGCGCCTTCTGGGCCGGGTCGCGTGTGATGCTGCACACGCCTGAAACGTTTTGGGTAAGCCACGTCCCTTGTTTCCACGGTAGTTCAGATGACTTGCTGGCTGCAAGCAAGTCAGAATGCTGCAACAGCATTTGCTGGCGTACCCACGAGCGAGGGTAGCATCTTTTCTGGGGCACTTGCTGAGCCTGTTCCAACGAACGAGCATGCGAGATTGAACTCTCTCCCGGCCATAAGAACCGCATACCCAGAATCGAGCTAAATAATCAGGCAGCTTCAGATAGCCGCACGCCTAAACGAAGTTCGGTTGTTGCTAGCTCACAGCAGCGAGCCTACAACACACGTAGGAGTAGAAGAGGTACCAGCCACAGGCAGCAGTCTGACACAGGAACGCAGGCAGGCGCAGACCCGCCCCCTTGGGCCTCTGCAATAAGCTCATGCCCCGTCCGAGGCCAACCTTACTTGGCAAACCCGCCTTCGAGCCACAAGAAGAGTCAGAACCCCGCCTCCATTATTTGTGAGATCCTTCACACAAGCCGCTTAAATGCCTACGTAAAAGCGAAGTTCAAACAAAATCCACGATTCAGGGGAGTTGCGGGAATTGAACCCACGACCTCTCGCACCCTAAGCGAGAATCATACCACTAGACCAAACTCCCTGATGACGATCCGGACGACGGCATATACTAGGTTAACAATAAAAGAATTCATAGGTGTGGCAGAAGTCCGGCTGTTGGCCCACTTTTCGGGTCCGCTGTACGCATCAACACTCCACAACCCCCTACATTACATTCCTTTAAGAGGTTATGAGATTCTTTCTGTGCGTCCTGGTGTTGTGCGTTCTGGCCGGCTGGGTGGCCGGGCAGGCCGGGCAGGTCTATGTCATATGCCGCCTGGCTGTCGTTCGCTCCTGCATTTTCCCTGTGTCTACCCGTTACACCCAGACCCAGAGGAACACCGGTCATACATACGCTTGATACAGATACTGTCGCGGTTGAAGCCCGAAGTTCGCCCATGACGTGCATCAGAAATTCAGAAGACCTGACCGACCCGAGACTCCTCCCCGGCCTCCCCGGCCAGGGAATCCCCCGGGGCAGGGCGCCGCTTACAGCGACACAAGATTGCCAACAATGAACGATCCAATGCCCTCCCCACACTTTTACGCCTCCGTGCTTACGTGAAACTTGTAACTTTGACTGCTGTGGACTGCAGGAGCTTTGGACGCCTTGTGTTATGGGCATCTCCACTCCAGGACCTTTGGACGCCTGGTGTTATGTACAATACGGCGGCTCATCCTTTCGGAAATAATAACGGGTTATGGGGAGTTGCGGGAATCGAACCCACGACCTCTCGCACCCGAAGCGAGAATCATACCACTAGACCAAACTCCCGGATGTGATCATTGCGTTCCCAATTTCACAACATTTACTTGGAAAGCACGTGTCACCCATACTGGAAACAGGGGGAAGTACGGAGACGCGCGGCCACGAAGGTTTGAAGTCAGCCAATTAGTAGATCAAGTGGCCACATCCATCCACCAGTAGATGCTGTGAAAACGTACGTGCGGCCTGCAACTGAGGAGCCTCCCGCCCTGGAAGCCTGGAAGCCGTGGTGGGACATATGCAATAGAGCAGCGGTGTACCCGTCTATGACCTTCCGGCCCACAACATTGCATACTGCCATCAACAGATTACTCGTCCGCTGGCTTCGCCTTCCTTCCGGGAGTCTGGAGCATACTGTGGCAAAATCCACAAAAACCCAGTAGTAGTATTACTTGCACATTTCCGAGGCCACAGAGCTGGTAACTGAAGCCCTGAGCGGCACATACTGGATGGCCTAAAAACACCAGTATCAAACCTAAATCTGTGCCGGGGAGTTGCGGGAATCGAACCCACGACCTCTCGCACCCGAAGCGAGAATCATACCACTAGACCAAACTCCCGGATACTGGCCACAAAGGCCACAGACCTGGTAACTGAAGCCCTGAGCGGCACATAATGGATCCTGAAAACACCAGTGTCAGACAAAAACGGTGCCGGGGAGTTGCGGGAATCGAACCCACGACCTCTCGCACCCGAAGCGAGAATCATACCACTAGACCAAACTCCCACATACCAGCAGGACTGTATTTATGATTAGACGTTCAATACAAGCCCCGCTTCCCTCAGGCACCACTTTGCTTGTGCACGAGTACACCACGCTGTCTGGCCAAGCTTTCCCCACCGTGAAACAGCACCCTTTGCCTTCCTCAGCATGTGTGCCGGCGGTTGGGCTCTCTATGTGCCGGAGGTTGAGTTCTCTGTACACATGCACTACAAACGTTTTCGCGTCAACCGGCAAGACACGGGGGTGGGGTCTGCGGGTTCGTTTGACGTAGTGCTAGCTCATAGCATTGCACTTATTACCGCATCTTGGTGCACACATGGATGACTATGTTACAGGAACTAACGGACCGTCCAGACAGTAGACAGCCGGTACAGAACGTTGACACAGGCCTGGTCGGGCCTGGCCGCCAACCAACCCTCACGTCATAATGCGCGCCTTGAATGCTTCTGAACTTTGCCGCGGACAGCGCAGATAACGCATTCATTTACCGGCTCTAGGATGTTGTGGGAAAGGTGCGTACCGGTATGACTGTTCCGGAACGCACCTTACCTTGTACTTTCGGAAGGGCATCATTCGAAAGGGCTTTACATTAACCATAACACGCCAATCGACCAACTGCAGATGGCACAGCACGTATTCCTTACCCAGTAGCTGGGCGGCGAAGCTCTCGCATGCATACTCCACTTACAAGTTTCATACCCCGTCACAAGGACTGTGCGCCCCGAACAACCACCGTTGACCTCACCTGAATCATGGTACACTGTTCACCGTTGATATGGCGCCGTGGCAGTAGGGCACAAACGCCGAGCGAGGTCGTCACATCCAACGTCACATCCAACGTTGTGGCCTGTGTCGCTTCCACAACATTCAATTGTAGCCCTCATCTCGCTCCCTGACCGCAAGCGCTTGCGGCAAAGGAAAGGAAAACAAAATCACGGTAGCCGTTGCCAGCGCGCCCTGGAAGTGGTCTGAGCCACCGAAACGCATATCAGCCTTTCCAGCCACAGGCAGGCTTTCGCTTCCCGTCCACATACATGGGAGATGCCTTACCGTTTGTGCGTAATCTTGTAGGTCTTTTGATCCAGAACGCGCTTCGCTGAGGGTTACGACGCTGAAACCCTTGCCGCGAGGCGCGGGCTTGTCAACGCCGTAGTAGATAGGCTGGCTGGCTGGCTGACGGCGACCCTCTCATCTTCAAAATCAAGGTTTTGACCGGTAAAGTATGTATGGTCTAAACTCGGCGGCGCCGCACAGTGACATGAGGAAGGTTGACTGTCTTACTATAGGACAAAGGAGATGACATGTGCGCTCTGAGTTTTAAAGACGCCGTGCCATCAAGAACTCTGTTGATATTGGCCTGATGAAGGTAAGTGGGTTGTACGAAACCCCTCAATCAGCCGCGGCAGGGCCTCGCGCCTCGTTCGGCAGCGCCTTTTCACTTTATATCGTGCCAGTCTGATAAACAGAGACTGAGCATGCCACTCTTTGTTTTGGCTTGTGGGCACGAGAACATTATTTAAATGTCGTGGCTGTCCGTCGTCCAAAAAGGATACCCGTACACGAAAAAAAACACATAGCGTACAGCTGCAGAGCTGCTCTAAGGGACGGTGCACGGGATTTTTGGTGTTTTAATTTGACCGAGTGCTGCTGCCACTCAGCGATGTGGGCATGTGGCCGCCCAAGACCTCTCTGTGAGCATTTTTTCGTCGGTTTTCCGTCCAGTGCCACTCCGCTCGAGCGCAACCATGTAAGTGAACCTGTAAGACTTAAGCCGCCACGCAGCATTGTGGGGCTTGTTGGTGGAGCTATAGGGCGGCTCGTGGGTCGTGGCGTCGTGAGTCGTGGCCCGCGTATCGGGCAGCTATCGGGCCCGCTGTCCGCAACCACCGCCCACCAATTGCACAGGCCGGCAGCCGATGCGGGCACCTCACTCAGCCTCATCAGCCGACGGCTGTTATGTGCGCAACTGTGTGCCCTTTTTTGGCACAGCGAAAAAGTGTTGTTTTTGTAACACATTTTGACAGAAGGCAAATAAGCGATTACGGCCTCCACCGGATGATTCATGCCGATTCCGCGTGGGTTTTCGGGAGCGTTCAGTATGTGAACCCTGGTCATGAAAGGTCTACCACTGACTATGTGAATGCTTTGAGGAAATCCCTTCCCTTACGAGCCTTTGATGCTGCACGGCAAGGGCACACCCGGTCGGTCGGGGGGTGTCTCTTTGGCGTAGTATGTGAACCCTGGTCATGAAAGGTCTACCACTGACTATGTGAATGCTTTGAGGAAATCCCTTCCCTTACGAGCCTTTGATGCTGCACGGCAAGGGCACACCCGGTCGGTCGGGGGGTGTCTCTTTGGCGTAGTAGACGCAGGTGGGCGCGTGGGTGACATGGAGCTCATCGAAACCAACTGACGACCCTCCCAGGTCCCAGCTGGATGCATATACCGTAAGCAGATGGTGAGGCGTGCTGACTGAGGTACACGGCGGCGCACTTCGCCATGCGGTCCAGCACCTGCAGGCGCCTGGAGTCTGAATGTGCAGCAGGGGCCACGGGCAGACTTCACGCACGTCTGCCGCACGCCCCAAGCGCCAGAACCGCTGTCACGTTCCCCCTCGCTGGATCGCCCAGCGGCGGCGCTAATGGGGGGGCATGGCAAGCCGAGCACACCGCTGCAAGATCTTCCACAGGCGGCTGATCCATGAGGCCAACATCCCTAAAGTAGGTAGGTACGCAAGCGCGTGAAGCATACGGAGGGAACCCACGGATGCGGCAGCGCAGCGAGGCCTGGCGCCTGTTGCATCAGGACAGACGGAACTGCGTTTCTTACTTCGCGGAAGTTCCTCCGCGCCGCTGACATAGTGCGTGTCAACGGTTAGAAGGATTGGCAGTTTGGTACGCGCGCCCGTCCTGATACGATCCCATCGGAACCCGTCGTTCCTCGCCACGCCAAGGATTAGCAGCCTTGCCCGTCCCCTAGATCACTTCGCTGTGTGTGCTTCGTCCTCATAACCAAGACCCAGACCTCCTAGGCGGTACCCGCGCGGATCCGGCCGCGACCGCGGCCGCTCCACATCCAAACCCACACCCAACGCCTCGTCCACCGTCACCAGCCCACTCCCACGCAATGCAACGCAGTCAGCCCGGCACATGCAAGCGCAGATGACGGGGCCCAAGCAAGCCTTTCCGCGTTTGCAGCCCGTTACCATCTCCTCCGAAGATTCACTTCCAAGGCCCTTGTTGTGCGGATGTTCTGCGACACGACGTCGACGGACCGCACTCGCTCACAAAAACACGCGCGCGCTGCACGGGTTTGCCTTGCTTTGTTCCCGAGTAGCATACCCGGCTCGTTGGCCGCCTAGAATAAAAACGGGGCAGAGCCGTCGCCTATTCATTGAGCAAAGGGGACCGGAAGCAGGCGCGCCCGGCCCCGCGCCACCACCCAGCCAGCGGCTAGGCCTCCCCAACGCATGCAAGCCCGAAAGTAGCACACCGATTGCTTTGCACCCAGGAGCCAGACCCCAGTGTCCGCTGCAGTCCAAAGCCCCAAGCCT